GGGCACATACATTATGCTCGACAGAAGAATTTACAAGACTGGTCCAGGACCCTCTGACCAAGGTAGTCAGCGTATGATTCATGACTATGGCCTCTAGTGTTCATCAAGGACACACCCAGGCAATTCCCTGAGGACTAGCCCAGCAGTTCTCAACCTGTGGGTCACGACCCCTTGGGGGGGCCGAACGATCCTTTCACAGGGGTTGCCTAAGACCATCGGAAAACACATAAATATTTTCACAATCTATAATTACATATTGTTTTGTGATTAATCATTATGCTTTAATTATGTTTAATCATGTTCAATTTGTAACAATGAAAATACACCCTGCATATCAGATATTTACATTATGATTCGTAACAGTAGCAAAATTACAGTTATGAATCAGCAATGAAAATAAGTTTATGGTTGGGGGTCACCACCACATGAGGCACTGAATTAAAGGGCTGCGGCACGAGGAAGGGGGAGAACCCCTGGACTGGGTGGGAGAGTGGTAGTCATATACTTTAGAATGCTCTCTGAAGGCAAGGCTGTCCTCCTTGCCAGATGAATGGTCAGAAGTAATTAATGGAGGCTTAGCCCATGTGGGGACTCATAGTGGATGTTGGGCTTTCCCTGGACTTAGTGTTCAGAATTTCAGCTCTAACACAAGCATAAGCAGCTTTAAAACCAGTTGCTCTTGAGCATATATATGGTGACTCATGACAATCCCATTGAAGTAGGGCTTTAGGATGGTTTCAATGGGTGGGTTTTCCACCGTGGATCATCAGGCCTTTCTTTCAGGGTATCCATAGGCAGACTCTAACTTCTATCTTTTGGTTCAAAGCAGAAAGGGCTGACTTTGTGCACCACCTATTGAGCCCTGGTGGTGTAGTGGGTATGCACTGGGCTCTGATCCGCCAAGTCGGCAGTTGGGAGCCAGAAGGCAGTCTGAGGGAGAAAGGTTGGGCTTTCTGCTTCTGTAAAGAGTACGGTCTCTGAAACTCAGAGGAGCGGCTCCACCTTGTCCTAGAGGTTAAAGTCACCACCATGAGTTGGCATCAACTCAATGGCAATGAGTGAGAGTGAGCTAGACAAGATGTGAACAAATGGATGTGGGTTTAGTTCCATAAACTTTACTTATACAAATAGGTGATAGACTCTATTTGGCTTGTGAATTTGTGGATTATTCTTTTTTCTATATATTTCCAGATAAAGTCCTATTCCATACATACAACTCTCATGTCTGATGACCTTTCTAGCTTCAAATTTCCTTATCAGTAAAGTCCTAGTTTCAACCTGATCCGAAATCAAGAAGGGTGAAACTCAGGGTTGTATCCTCTCACCATACTTATTTAATCAGTATTAAATAAGTATTGGTATTTATTTTAAAACTTTATTATATTCCAAGTAGATAATATATTCTATTTACTATATGGTATGACATATATATATGTATTAAATACATATTGAGCAAATAATCTGAGAAGCTGGATTATATGAAGAAGAGTATGGCACCAGGATTGGAGGAAGGCTTCTTAACAACCTGCAATATACAGATGACACCACCTTGCTTGCTGAAAGTGAGGAGGACCTGATTGCTAATGACAATCAAGGATTTCAGCCTCCAGTATGGATTGCCACTCAGTATAAAGAAAACCCAAATCTTCACAATTGGACCAATAGACAACATTATGATAAATGGAGGGGAGATTGGAGTTCTCAGGGATTCAATTTTCCTTGGATTGTCAATCAATACCCATGGAAGCAATAAATCAAATAGATGTGTTGCATTGGACAAATAGGCTGCACAGGATCCCTTTAAAGTGTTCAAGAGTAAGGCTGTCTCTTTGAGAACTAAGGTGTCCCCGACCCAACCACGACGTTTGTAATTGCCTTGTATATGTGACAGTTAGACAACGAATCAGGAAGAATCGATGCATTTTAACTATGGTGCTGGGAAAGAACCTTGAAAGTCCCATGGACGACTACAAGAACAAACACATCTATCTTGGAGGAATTACAGCCTGACGGCTCCTTAGAAGGTTGGGGCATTGTGATACCTGGCAAAGTCGAAGGGTAGCCCAAAGGAGGAGGATCACACAATGTGAGACCGGTGCATGTCTAGGACAGGGCGCCCATCAGCTGGATAGAGGGTCCTTAGGAGTCAGACCTGATCTGGAAGCACCGAACCACCATCAGAGTTCCCATGTAAGAATCGGGGCACAATGCTTAAGCAATTTAATCCTAATTAAAAGTGAAAGCTGGCACTATCAGGGGCTCCATCAGAGCAAAGGTCTGGCAATCTGCTCCTATAAAGCTTAAACACAATGCAGAAGCGACATCATTCCCCCAATCAACTTGGACTCATATTAACCTAAGAGGTCAGAGCAGAAATACTGCGAAGGAATTTCAGAGGAAGTCGCCTGCCACGTATTTCCCTCACGGAGCAGCTGGTGGGGTCCAAGTCCAAGTTAGCAGCTGGACACTCAGTCCCGGAGCCACCAAGGGTGTGGGGCGTAAAGACTGCAGCCTAGGAACCTCGATGTAGTTGCCATCAGTTGCACTCGATGGATTTACTCCTCAAAATATATGCTGTAAATCCTAACCCCCACAGCCGTGTTTATAATCCCAGTTGAGAAGGGGGTTTCTTTGTTATACTAACATGTCAGTATTCGTATAGGATGTAGGTTAAGTTCATCTCTTTTGAAAAACTGAGCAGATTAAGCAGTGTTGGGGGACTCTAGATGCCAGGCCATGTGAAATTGGCATTGAACCGAGAAAACAAAAGCGGAAAAGAGACAAGGATCTTCCCCAGAGCTAACGGAAAGGATCCTTCCTCCAGGAACAGTACCCAGAATTTGGACTTGTAGCTCCCTAAGCTGTGAGAAAAGAGTGAAGCCACTTACTTGTGGTATTCCCATTATAACCAGACCCAACCAAACCCACTGCCCTGTACCCGTTGCCACCGGAGAGCAAGCGGAGAGGCCGGCGTAGAAGTGCGAGAGAACTAAGGCAACAGCAAGGACTTCAGCGTGGCACTCCTTCCGTGTCGAGACTGATGAAGATGTGGGTACGAACTGGAGTACTGGGGATTTGAACACATGCAGAGGCGTCGTGGAAGACAAGCCTGGCAATCTCCACCCTGGAACCTCCAGGAGTTGGAATTGAGATGGCAAGTCATTCGTCTCAGTGGCTCAAAACAGTGTAGAGGATAAGCTCTCAACCACACCGGAGGCCAGATTTGAATAGGCATACCTGATTAGCACTCCCTATGCTTTGTTTCAAGCCTGGAGACACCGACTCCGTAGTCTGGAGGAGCAGTCAAAGGAGAGCACCCCGTCTAAGAGCTAAGAGCACCCTGGGCCAGGGATCTAAGACTGGTTCTGCCACGAAAATCTTTGTGAGCCTGAGTAAGTCACTTAACATCGTTAGACATTAGTTTTTGCATCTGAAAAAATTGACAAATATACTAACATTCAAGACCCCACCCACGATATGTTTCTCTCTTATTTCTATTGTTGCCACTGTAACAAGAAATGATGACTTTATAAAATAACGGGAAACTTAAATGAAGAAACATTTTAGAGAAACATGAATCTTTTACAAACATTTCAAAGGTGATGGAAGGTAATATATACAGAACCCTTGGGAAATGTATTTTCAGATATTCTTCTACTAATAGTATCAATATACCCACATATGAATCTACTGATGTTATAAATATGCACATACTTATATAAGAAATAATAAAAAATTAAAACTGTTGGTTAACATTTTTATTAAAAAAATAAGTTTTGAAAATAAATTAGTTACACAAAATGGGAAACAAGTGCCTAAGAGAGTTACCATCTTTAAAAGAAATCAAGCCATAAAATATTTGCATTCTTGAAAGAAGTCTTTGACTTAGGCAAACACAGACCAAGAGGATCCTCTAGGAAAAACAATAGGTTTTTTTTTAAAAGAGCTATTACACTACTCACATGTATTTGGAGATAGGTTAAATGAACTTGTTAAATTGCCTAAATTGTTTTCAAACTTACTTTCAAAACCCCATTCCTCCAAAAAAAGTAGGATCCAGCTCAGAAGGCAGGGTACCATCGCTTCCCCCCTTACTTCTCAAAAGAGAGTTTTGCAGAAGTCTAACAACCTTGAAATGGTGGTGCTGATGGGGCGTAGTGTCCTAGAAATACACCAACATTTCCTGTCTTTCCTGCCAGACTTGGTAGAAGTAGCTTGGAAATCCTGTGCTCTGGTTATCATCCTGTCTCTCCTCCCAGTCTGAGGAACCTCAATGTTCCACATACCAGAGGAGGACAGAAGGGGAGACTGAACTCCGTGGAGCCCTCCGTGGGCCGGCTTGCTGGGGACAGCTTCATCAGACCCGCCTCAAACTTCCTGTTTCTATCGTTGCTCATGCCTACCTTTCCAAGTTTACTTCCATGAAGAGAACCACGGTTGAATTGCCTTCTCCAGTCAAGGCAAAGTGCTAGCACTGAGGCTCTAAGCACGAAGAAAAGAGGCCAACCTTACCCTTGAGGATCCAACAATCTAGCAGGAGTCTGTGCTGCCTCAGTTCTTCACCTGCATTGTGGCCAAAACATAGCCTCCATGATCACAATTGGCCTTTTGAGACGATGGTAGCTCCTCTATGAACACATATGCTTGCATATTTATCTTTCTCTCTGTAAAATCACTCATTTGTAATTTTCTTCCTGGGGCACATTAGAGAGCCTCTACGATGATTCTTAAACAGGAAAGCACCCAAGAGTCCGTGAGTTCAGACTGAATGAAACCCCTGACTCAGGCTTAGAGAGAGAGGCTTCAGTGGTGACAGGATCCTGGCCTCGATGCGTTCCACTCCTGGAGCCCCCACTCATGCGCAGTGAACATACACCGTCAGGTTTGGTGGCCCCGTGGCCCCCCGTGGTTTGCCACCTGGGCATATTGTACATATAGAGACGATTTGGATATCTTGCTCCTCAGGACCACGATAGACTGTCTGACATGGCCATGGGTCTTCATTCTTTCACTTCACTGAAGGAGCAATAGCTGGGCCCCAAGCCTCGCACGGTGCAGTCGGTGCTGTCGCTGTCACACTTGCCACAGTGGCATTGTGTGGCCACTGGGTACGTATACAGGGAATCTGCATGGTGAGCACAGCCGGGCACCCTCACCGTCTCATAGACCACCTCCTTGAAGGTACACGCTTTCTGGCTGTTGGGCCTGGCTGGGTCTTTATATACCAAGTCCTGAAAGGTTTAAGAAGGGAAGAATTAGGTTATCGTATTCTAGAAGTTTCTGTTTTGAGCAGACAGATGGAACAGGGATGGCTTGCTCTAATGCTTACCTATTCAGATCCACTCATTTCTAATCAAGGGAACATGACCCCACAAATTATACCACATGACATTGCCTGATTATTTTGGAAATCTTCAGGAAAATACATCTTTCCTTTTCTTAGTGCTATATCAAAATATTAATTATTTCTCAAACCCTGAAGGAGATTTGAATGAGTATGAAAAAAGATGAAAAGGAGAATATGACTTAGAAATTAGAATTGACTTCGTCTGCCTACTCAAAAATTCTATTAATGCCACTTTAAAGTAGACAACGCTGAACTTTAATTTCTCATAAAAAAAAAAATCCCCTGATACCTTGTCCCTGTGTATTTGTAAAAAAAAAAATCATAGTGTTAATGTTTGGGAAGATGCACACAACTCAGATTTTGAACATTCCATTACCTTGTAGACCTTCAACCCCCATCCCCCCAGTGCTGTATATTTTGTAGAGATCTTGATTTCAAAAGTTATACCATATTTTGCATATAAGAAGTTTAATCCAGGAAGAAAAGTTTATGCCAACATTTTCTAGTGAAAAAATTTATTTCAGTAAGAAAAGAAACTGGGTCTTCTAGCTTACTTTTTTAAAAAACATCCCACTAAATCTATATTCCAACCTGGTGCAATGTAACCGGAGTCTGATTAATCAAATGATTTGCTAATCTATAAAGTATAGTTCATTATGAAGTGCTATTTTTCAACCAGTTTATAGAATTAAATCCTGCATAGATAAGCTGGTTCCATAGGGGGAATATATATATGGAATTATCTCTTTACTTGGACTAAGAAAAAGAAACTGTGAGAATTGAGTCAAATGCTTTATCCTTCTGCAACCTCATTTTATGAACAGCGTCAAGTCAGGATTGGGTTTGTTGACTCATTCGTTGCTTCCAATAGTCTCGGAGGATTAACTCTGTTCTCCAGCATCTTAGCTGGCATTTGTATTCAGTTAAAAGTAAAAAGACCATTTGAAATAATTTGGTTCTTTGTGTTTATGTAGTTTAGAAATATATTTTGATACTCTCTGTATTACAGAAACATGGCCTCAATTATGGCAATTGACTTTTGAGAATATTGTAACTCCTTCATGATTAAATGTTTATCATTTAGCTGTATGTATATTAATATAGGCTATGATTTCAGATCTATGTTTATGTGTTATTTCTCTGTACATAATACTTAGTGTGCTTTCTTTTTAAAAATTCATATTACTGAAATGATCCTTCATATCAATCCAAGAGAGGCCTAATTTACCCAAACCAAGTTCAAGCTCAAACATTTAAATGATTCCATGTTAACTAACCAAATGGCAACTCAGACAATGTTGTCTACAGGACTCGTGGCTATTAGCTGAGAGAAAAATGATAGTGATAATGAGATATTAATGATGCCTGCCTTGGACAGACACCGTGCTCACTGTCAGCAAAGCAAAGCAGAGCTCTTACCCGGGTGTAGCAATAGCCTGCACACCAAGTGGTGTTGACGCTTATACAGAAACGGCAGTCCTCTTTCTCCACTGCGATGGTGATGTTGGTCAGCTCGCAGCCACCGCAGTACAGTGCTTTCCAGCAACAGAAAAGGAAGCAGAACTGGAGAGACTTCATCCTGGACTGGGAGGCAAACAATGAGGGCATCTTAGAAACCACGAGACCAAGGCATTATATGTAGGTTAATCAAACCCCCAATAATCTGGGGACCTATTCTCCCCCATCCCAGTTTGCTTCAGCATGATTATTGTCTCTTTTTCACTTTACTCCCTCTTACTCCTTCTTAGAAACACAGATCATAACTCAAACCATAATGAAATATCCTATGTATTTGATAATATCAAATGATATCCATATTTAAAAGGCTAGCTTTTAAGCATAACTTCTATGCAATGTTAGCAAAAACTCTAGATTTGTTCTCTAGGTCCTTACAGAAACTCCCCCCGCCCCACCCAAAACTGTCATTTCAAAAGTTAACCACTTGCTAAAAGCCAAGACTTACCAGTGGTTGACTGCCTTGCCTGGGGAAAGCTATCAACTGTTCATCGTTTTTTGTATAAAAGCTCACCTTTTATACAAAATCCTGTGCAAGTAAGACCTTGTGGCTTTGTTGGGTATTAATGGGAGCAATGTGAGCCTGGAGCTTGCTGCTGCGTGAATCAGTGTTTAGACAGACAGGGAGATCAAGGCTCACTAAAGTAGTCTAAACGCAGCAGAGCTGGAATTAAGAATGTTACCAGAGATGATGATTTGATACAGATTGCATTTGATATACTAACACACCCACTCCTTTACCTTGTCAAATTAAATGAGTTTTTTTTGTGTGTGCCTTACATTCAGGGAACCCCAAATCCTTTCCAAGTATTGCTTTGTCTCCATTTAAAAGGCCCCTCAAATAGATATGGCTAATATGTTGTGCGGAGGGTAGACAGAAAGCTGTGAACAAACAAACAAATACAAAGTCTTTCGTGATCTGACTGTAGTTTAAACGGTATCTCTTTACCTCCTACATCCAGGTGTCCTAATCTCAAACCATAATTTTCGATATTTTAGCAAGAGCTGGCTACTTGACTGGTAACTCCCTTAATGAACTGCTGATTCTGTTCTCCTGATCTTTACATGTTATGTCCCTTCTGCCTGAAATGTGCTTGTTTTCTCTCTGTCTCTTCCCATCCCTATCCCACTCCTGGGGAATTGTCCAACCTTCCGTCCATACTAGGGTTTTCCAGGGCTACAGTTCAGGGCAGGACTTGAAGGACATTTCCTCACCACCATCTTATAGCTATCTGCAAAAATCATTTATGTTTACGCTTCTCTGAGTAGACTGTGAGCTCCTTGTACAGTAAAGAGGTCTTTGTTTAACAAATATTTATAAACATCTACTATATGTCAGATACTTTCTGGTTCTTAGTACTAGCAAATAAAATACAGATCCATTACCTGGTGGGCCTTATAATCTAATAGGCAAAGGGAAATAATAGACAGTACCCCAGCTGAATGAATAAATAACCGAGCGTGTCAGTACTTTCAAGAAAGAAAAAGGATAGCCATTTCAGGATAGGGCAGAAAATATTAGGCAGGCCCATTGTGAATTGCATTGTATTCCCCTAAAATAGATGTTAGAATCCTAATGTATTCTTGTGATTGCAACCCTGTTTGAAAACTGGAGTTTTCATTATGCTAATTAGATCACACCCAAGTCGGGTGGGCTCTGCATCTCATCATTTCAGAGTTGGATAAGCAGCAGCTTAGACATAAGCACTTAGGTAGGGAGACAGATGCTACTGAGGATTACCCATAAGCCCAGGGCTAATCAAAATGTCTGAGACCTGAATTTGAATGTTTAACATCCAGAACTGTGAGTTTAGATTCTGTAGAACCACTCACCCGTGGTATTTGTGTCCTAAGGAATTAGGACAGGCAGTCTGAGTGAGCCTCAGAGAAAAGGTGAGACCTAAGCAAGGGCATGAAGTAAGGGAGATGGTGTTCTGGGGAAGAGTGTTCCCAGCAGAGAAAAGAGCAGGTGCAAAGGGTCTAGAAGCAACCGTGCCTGACATATTAAAGGAACTGCAAGTGTCGTCCAGGGGCTGGAGCAAAAGAACAGCTCCAGGAATATGGATGAGGTCAGAGGAGTAACTAGCTCACTGCCATTGAGTTCATGCTGATGCATGGTGACCTACAGTGGGTTTTCAAGACTGTAACTGTATATGGGAATAGAGAGCCCTGTCGTTCTCTAGCTGAGCTCCTGGTTGGTTTCCAATTGCCAACCATTCGGGTCGCAGGTCAAGGCAAAACCACTACACCACCAGGGCTCCCCAAGAAGTAACAGGGGTTCAAAAAAGTTGAATCTTTTAGACCAATGTAAGGACTTTCATTTTTACTCTGCGATGGCAGCCGTTGTTAGATTTTGAGTAGAGCGACTCTGTTGGGCAGAATAGAACTGCCTTGAGGCTGTAAACCTTGATGGGAGCAGACAGGCTCATCTTCCGGTGTGCCGCTGGTGGCTTGAACTGCTGATCTTATAGTTATCAACTTAAGGAGTAATCCACGGAGCCACTAGGGTTCCTTTGACAAAATAAGACTTAAGTTTAAAGGGATCCCTCTCATGGCTGTGCTCCTAATTTACTATAGGAGGAAAAAAAGTATAAATAGGAAGACTTACTAGGGTGCTATGGCAACAATCTAAGAGATGGTATTTGTTCAGACTAGTCTGGTTGTAATGTTGATCATGAGAAATGTTCTGATTATGAGTATATTTTAAAAGCACAACCGACAGACGTTTCTGATGAATGAATGTTGCCTGTGACAGAAGAATCAAGGATTACTCTAAGGTTTTTACCTGAGTAACTAAAACGATATAGCTACCATCCAGCAAAATAGGATAACTGTGGGTGTTTTGGTTTGGAGTAAAGGGTTGGGGTTCTGTTTGGACATCATGAGTTCAGGGTGTCCATAAGACATCCAATTGGAATGATGAGCCCTTATTTGGGGAGAAATACATTGGCTGAAGCTATGCGTTCGGGAGTCATGGCATATGGTGCAAGTCTAGATTGAGAAATGACAAATACCAAGAATGGAGCCTGGTGTACTCCAGGGTTAAGAGGTCCAGGATAAAGTGACAAACCACACAAGGGTACCAGAGAAGAAAAGGAGTAGTGCAAGTGACAACTGTGCTAAATGCAGCTGATAGGGTAAATAAAACTGCAGACTGCAGACTGACACAACATTTGTGACGATATTAAATGGCCTTGACTAGAAGAGCTCCTTTGGGCTGACGGGAGCACAGTCCCGATGAGTGTGTGTTTAGACTCATCGTGAATGTAAACAACGCTTTTCAGGAGTTCTGTTACAAAGATAGGCAAAGATAGGAATGAGGTTGGGTAAAATGGAAATGGGGTAGAAATAATTGTCTCCTGCGTGCTACGCTCTAAGAAAGGTAGAAAGAACGGCATGTTTGCATTGGGGCTGTGTGTAAGACTGTTTAGTAGAGAGAGAAAAATGCTGCTGTTGGAGAGAGCGGGAAGAGTTTCTAGAGTGATGCTATCAAGGAAGTAATAAGTCAGTGTAAGTGAGATTATTCTCTCTGCCTGGGACACATCTCGCATCTCCTTTTCATCCAGGTGCCTTGCACACACACCTCAAGAGTTGATTTAGAGCTAGCTTCTTCTTGGACCAGCACTCACCCCATCGCACATGGTCCTCAACGCTCACAATAGTGTCCAGTACTCCACTTAGTTTCCAATGCTCACTTAGTTTTCAGAACATACCTTGAAGCAGTTTTCAATATGTTACATTATATTTTAAATTCACACCTGACTTTTCTCCTGAATTCTGATGAACCTATGTTCCTAATTGTTGGAATTCCTTGAATTTCTATATGTTCATAAACTCAAAAGCCTGCAGCCTTCTTTTATTTACATTTCTTCCACCTCCCAAATCATCCCTCTATCTTTGGGTGTAAAAATAGGAAATTAAGAGTCAGTGCTTGTGTCTTGAGAACCTACATCTTCTTCCTCTGGTCTGCTCCACTCTCCATTTCTTTTGTACTTAGGACAGATACATGCTTTGTAATGTGAACTTTCAAAAATTTCACTATGTTATGCTTTATAGTCATTACATTTATTATTTTTAAAAAAATCTCAAGATAGTAAGTAGCAGGTATAATGTAATATTTTCATGGACGGTAGCAATTTTTTTCATCTAATCACATACTGTATATACTAGAGTATAAGCCAACCGGAATATCAGCCAAAGCACCTAATTTTACCACAAAAACCGCATAAAAAAATGTGCTGAAACACTTGGCTTATACACGAGTATATACGGTAACTTACACTAATAGTAGAGAGAGTTGCACTGTCCAGCACAGTAGCCCCCAGCAAGCTGTGACTACGAAGCCTTTGATGTGCATCCAGGCTAAATTGAGATGAGCCACAGTGTAAAATTCACACTAGATTTCAAAGGCCAAAATAAATCATGTGAAGTAGGAAATCCAGGGCAGATGATCCCTTTAGGATCAGTGGTGTGGGTGGCGATACCGGGAGGGTGGGTTGGAAAGGGAGAACCGATTACAAGGATCTACATGTGACCTCCTCCCTGGGGGATGGACAACAGTAAAGTGGGTGAAGAGAGACATAGGACAGTGTAAGATATGACAAAATAATAAGTTGTAAATTATCAAGGGTTCATGAGGGAGGGGGGAACAGGGAGGGAGGGGGAAAATGAGGAGCTGATGCCAGGGGCTTAAGTGGAGAGCAAATGTTTTGAGAATGATGAGGGCAATGAATGTACAAATGTGCTTTACACAATTGATGTATGTATCGATTGTGATAAGAGTTGTATGAGCCCCTAATAAAATGATTAAAAAAATAAAATAACTCATGTAAAGTATCTCAATAATGGTTTTATATTACATGGTGAAGTGATATTTTGGATCTACTGGGCTAAACGAAATGTAATTAAGTTGATCTCACTTATTCTTTTTTTACATTTTAAAATCTGGCCACTAAAAACCTTAAAATTGCATAAGTGACTCCTGTTATATTGCTATTGGACAGCACTGGTGTGAAACTTTACAGAGGTCACTAGACTTGCTGTGTTAGTCTGGGTAGACTAGA